CCAGGGGTCTCTTTTACAAACGGTGCGTACATACAAAACAGGGCTGTTCACACTTGTGGACTCAAGGAAAGGGGGCACCGGAGCTCCACCCCTTTATTACCGATCTGCAGGAAGGGGCATCCCTCCTGAGTAGTGACGTCACTGGCTGGAGGGGGACACACAGACGGGATGACCCAGGTACTAATTTGGATTCCCCTGTTTGAAAAGAGATTCCGCTTGTGTTTGTGTAGCCTAAATAAATGTTCAAATAGTCCACTCACTTAACGAGGCTGCTGATGAGAAATATGACTTGTTGTAAATGACATAAAATAGTGTTATATTTCCATAATGTGTTCTTACAAGCAGCGCATCACATCCACACGCTGGCGCACAGCTTTTGGCTCGATAAGGCAACTAACATCTGATAATATATGAAACTATGCTCTCATATTTGTTCGACTGACACATTGAAAACGGCATCAATTTAAATGTAATTTATCCTCCTGTTCACCTTATTTATGAGAATAAACTGCACTGCATGCAAGTATTAATTAATGATTCCTGATTACACTGTACAACATATGAGACGTTCTTTTGCAGAAACAGATATCTCCTTGATAGCTCTTGTGTTTATTATCCTAAATCTGGATCTTTTGTGCACTGTAAATGATCTTAAATTTGCCCACTTCAGGGAAAGTCAATCAAACGGGTGTTTGTTTATTCAGAAAGGCTTTTAGGCTGTAATACTTAGAGGTAGGCCTAATATTTTGATTTATTTTACACAATAGCAGGCCTATTCATTTCAAACCGTTTCATCCTTCTGCCATGTGAGTCGCCGTTTCTCATTTCTCACCTTTATGTGCGTATGCATGGTTCTGAGTTTACTTACAGGACCACACATTTTCCCGTCAAGTTTGTTTTTTTATAGATCACAACCTTTGCTTGGGAAGTGCCGTACGCACATTTCCAGCCCTGTTTTGTACGTACGCAACTTTTATAAATGAGACCCCTGGCTTGTAAAAAGAAAAACATATTCATTCAGTGTTTCCCCACACATACACTTTACTTTGGCAGGCCACGCAGTTTAGGCAACACATTGTAGTATTTATCAGAGAAAAACGGTGCTTACGTTACCAGTTGTGACACTGTCGATATTTTACAAGAGCAGACCAGGTAAACCGACAGTGAACACACCAGTCAGAAGTTATTCGTTAGCTGCCACGTTGGTTTTATTTTGATAGGCTACTGGAAAACGGAAGACGGCGAAACCGAGCCGAGTAGAGTTGAGGCGAGTTGAGCTGAGCTGAGCTGGTACTGGAAAAACGGCAAAAGAAATGAGGAACGCTGACGTCCCCCCCCCCACAGCCCGCTTAGCAGAAAATACCGATATATATTTTATACCGGAATTCTGACCTAACAGTACCGGGATATGACTTTTTGGGCATGTCGCCCAGCCCTACTCACGGCTGGACTACTGTAATTCCCTGTATATGGGGTTGAACCATTCAACACTATCCTGACTACAAATGGTTCAAAATACAGCTGCTACATGTTTAACTGGAACAAAGAAAAGACAATACATTACTCCGGTCTTGTTTCACTTGCATTGGTTACTGGTAAAACAGAATTGATTTTAAATTGTATTCTCTTTATTGATGTGTATAAGTGTACTAGTGTTTTATTGTGTAGCTGGATACACAATGGTATATATTCTTTGTTATTTTGTTCCTTTATACTTGGTTTTGTGTATATTGTTTTCTTGGAAAGCACTTTGGGTCAACTCCTGTTATTTTTGAATGTGCTATATAAATAAAGCTGATCTGATATGAATCTGCTAGTTTTCCAAATTTGGCCAAAGCAGGCTATGCTTAGAGTGCACTACTCACCAAGTATTTTCCATCTGACGATATGGCCATGCACAGGATATGGGCTGTATGTCCAATATGCCGATCCTCTGTACCTTTCCTTCCACCAGGTATTGTGTGCAGTTTCTTGCCACTCTCAACATCCCCTGAAGACATAAGAAAAACACTGAACTGAGTCTGCCAAGTCTGACCATTACTTTCATATTTATCCATATTTCAGCGTTTTATTTTACACTAACATTTAATGATAGAGCAGTCTTTGGCAGCAGAAAAGATGTACTTGTCATCGAAGGTGATGACCAGACAGGTAATTGGAAGTTTGTGTCCCTTTAACACTCTGATCTCTGAAGCATCCGGTGGCATGAGCTAAAAAAGACAGATTGAAAATGTAATAAAAGTCAGTCCGTTCATAAACAGCTTCCCCCCTAGGATATCGGAAATTCCCGTACTTACATCTTTGGCAATAAGTCGCTGAAGCTTTCCTTTTTGTTCAAGCTGAGGGGAAAATGACATACAGAGCAGGATCAACAACACTGACCAGCATATGGCAATACATCTAGCATATTAAATCCAAAAAGAATACCTATGTCTAAGATCAAGGACATGGGTTTGGTTAGAAAATATTCACTGTGAAACAACTTAAAATGGGTTTTGTTTTTGCCGAAAAAAAACCTGCTGAGGTCGCAGTTACTGATGTTACATTCGAAGCAGACTACACAGGCCCTTCAAAAGGAAAAGTACTGCAGCAAAATGTTGCGATACCTCGCCTCACCATGCCAAAACAATAAATAAAAAAAATCCCATGACCAACCTGAACGAGGCCTTGTTACATCACACTCGCATCAAAAGGAGTTGTGCATTGGTTTTGAATATCGGATATCCTTGCCAATCTGCCTCAGTATTTTAAAACAGAGCTGTAGACTGTTTAAAAGTTATCCATTTTATAATAGAGGCTTAACTGATCAAATAACAATAATGAAATCAGTAAATCCTGCTTTATTCTGACCGTTTCTTCAAGGTATCAGATTTAATCCACTCATACATACATTGTTTTATTGTATTAAATACAACACTGCATCAGACAGCTTAGATTCCCCATCACAAGTGGCAGTACTTTTTTCAAACATAAGTAGTGTCTGCAGGCTGTAAATAGCCCCACCAATCTTGCTCGAGGTTTCTGCCTCTTAAAAGGAAGTTTTTCCTTGCCTCTGTCGCCTAGTGCTTGCTCTTGGTGGGAACTGTTGGGCTTCTGTAAATAGCATCATAGAGTATGGTCTAGACCTGCTCTTTTATGAAAAGCGCTGTGAGATAACTGTTGTTGTGATTTGGCACTATATAAATAAAATTGAAGTGACTTGAATTGAATCTTCACCACACAGAGAGAAAGGCAGCCCTTACATGTGCAATCGCAGAGCAGGGTGTACATAGACATACTGCAACAAACACCAATAAATAAATGCAACCCAGATGAGCATTTAAACATTTCATCTGCTCAGAGGTCCACTCATCTGGTATATTGTAGCTGCACGAAGACATTGTATAGGTATAGGAGTGATTTAATGATCAAACTGAAGCTACACTGTCACAAAAGTAATCTGTAAAAGTACAGGGATGGTTGAGTGTGTAACGTCTCGTGTCCCCAGCGGGAAATTAAACCCATTAACACAGAAGACATTCTTACCACTTCTTCTTCAAGTCTTCCAGCAATCAGATCAGTCTCAAATGAGTCGTCTTCTGCTTTCTTTTCCTCTGATGAGATCAGATCACATAATAAATACATACATGCACAGACCGTAATGCTAAACATCCATGTCGCATGGATAATATAAGTTTACCTTCTTCCTTTAGTTGGTCGAGGTAAATTTTGGCTAATCTAAGTTTCTTCTCCTGTGGCGTTTCATCAAACTCATTCTCTTCAATGGGCTGTCTTTTCTTGGGCACTACAGGACTGTGCAACAATGAAACACAAATCAAAACAAGTTCACAACTGCTGGGTTAGTTAGGTCCTTTAAAGTCTACATCATGACACGGTCATCAATGCATAACCACAAGTGGGCACATCAGAAATTAACCTCTCTGTCTCAGAGTCGCTGGAAATCTCTTCGTTGTATTTGGAGTTGGGCTTCTTTGCTCGCACTTTGTCCCAATCGCCCTGCAGCTACAGTAAAAAAAAAAAAAGAAAGAGTGTTTGTCGTGACATATAATGAAGTTTCATTCGCGTTAGGCCAGCAGGTTATATCAGGTACGTGAGTCAACATGCTGGTTAGCTAACGTTACTGTGATTTAGCTTACCGGCTAACAGTGCAGCTCACTTACCTTTCGTTTTGGGACGTCTGCATTTTTACCCTTTTTAACTATTTTGGGGTTGTCTTTTTTCTTTATAAAGAAAGAAGAAGACATGGTGAAACGCGACGCTCACCGTTTCAAAGTAAACGACAACACTTAACTCCACAAGTTTCTCCGGCAGCAAGTCAACATTGAACCCACATGGATACACTGCAACCAAACCAGGATGCTGAAGTCAGGTTTGAAAGCGGACGCTGATTGGCTGATATTCACAGTTGCTCCTAAATATCCCGCCCTTTGTTGAAACTCTGAATTTTTATTGGTTAAATTCGGGGTTCAGATGAGCAGGAAACTGTACAGGGGCAAAATACTTCCCTCGGGGAATAAGTTTTCACAGCTTTGTTCCGCGAATAATTGTAAAAATAAGCATTTCACAACACAGTAGTCTTATGCACATGTGTGCCATACACAATAAAAGGTAAATATAGGAGGCATATTTCAAACATATTAAACCGGAAACGTTTTGCGCGGCTGTTAAAAATTGGCCGTAATTTTATCAGGATCTATGTACTGTACTACTGCAGTAGTACTACTACTTCCTTTACTACGCAGTACTTCCATTTACTGCGCTGTCTCTGTTCTCAGTGAGTGTATTTACAGTATATCCTTGAAGTCGAGCTGAACGGGCAGGTGAGCATCCTCTGAACCGTCTAACATTAAATATCACATGTGCTTGATAATGTATTGAAAGAGTCATTGTATCACTGAGTTGCTCAATCTGGAGACAATCTGGAGGCTAGTAGGAGGGGTTGAGTAGGCAGGGGGAGGGAGGTGCAAGGGGAACTAACTTTTCATCATTGTCATGCATGAATGCGTTTAAAAAGAATGAAACACGTGGAGCCGCTGAAAAAGTTTGACTTACAGTTTGATTCCCATCTTATGCAGAAAATCAATGCTTGATGTGTCAACTGATCAGATCATTACCCTCCCCAGATTTACTACCCCCATGCCACCCAAGAGAGAAGCAGGCGCGACTCCAACACAACCGCCAGTTAAGATGATAAAAATCAGCAATGATGGGCAGGAGTTTGGCAGTGATCCAGGGGAGGATAAGTACAGGTTGGTTGAAGGCTCCAGCTACTCACCTTTTCCCAACAATGAGGTGAGAGATTTTGCAATTTGATTGTGCATAAAATATCTGTTGTTCACCATTACTACACATGGAAGTTATTCACGGCATTTCCTCTCATTTTGGCAGCATGAAACCATTGAGTTTGATGAAGAAAATGTCGCAAGTCCAGGCATCAGAACAGACACCATCAGTCTCCTCATGAAAATAGAGCAGCTGCAGGCACAACTCAAATATGAACGCAGATGTAGAATTTTGGCTGAGAGAGAGTTGAGGGAGCTGAAAGGTGGGTGGAAAAAGATGACTAATTTATTAAATAATATGCTAAAAGACCACACAGTTAAAGTACGGAATGTGACTCACTGTAATCAGGGCAGGGCCATAGGGTCATATTTTTGTACATTTGGGGGATCAAAAGCATACATAAAAATTTAGACCAAAACAACTTCTAAGTTAAATAAAGCAGACGAACAATATTTTAAAGGTAATGCTTTATTTGTATGTCCATAATTTTCATAAAAAGATTCCTGGAAAAAACAATTTCATTTAGTACTAAACAAAAGGAAATCATTCATTAACTCAATTCTTACACTTTCAGTTAAATGCAGTAATCAATAGTGGGATTTGGGGAGTCATTTAGTCCATGCACAGCATTTTTCAGCATATCATTAAACATAGTTTGAGAATTTAGTCTCCACTAATGAATAAAAAAATAAATAAAAAAAGTATATTTATCTATGATTAAATTGAGCTTCTCTCTCCAAGGACAGTCCTTTTTTCTTTTTTTTACATTTTCTCAGGAAACTTTTATTTTATTATATTATTAATAAATGGCAAACCTGTTAAGAAGTGTTACCAAATTAAATAAAAGGCATTTATTAGTCTTTACATACCTGTAAGTGTAGAAAGGTTTTCAAATAACATTATTATTTTTATTATTATGATTAATAATATAATTATATAACTGTTAAATTAACAATAAAATGGGATTTTCTAGGTACTTTTACAGGTTTGGTTGTTGGCTGGTAAAAGGTTTCTTAGGTAACAGGCCCTGAGCCTGTGCTGTAAACATGCCATCTAATTACTCTGTGAATAAACTTGCTCTGTTTCAGCAGTTCTAAAGTGATTTGACACTTTACAGAGATGAACACACTCATGATGCAGATGAGGCACACGGCCCATGAACTTCGAGTCACTCTGGATCAAGTTCTCCAAGGAGGCGATGCAGCAGCCGCACCACAGAACTCTCATGATGAGAGTATCGCTTTCCTGGCCGAGACTGAGGCTGAGATGAGAGCGGTTCATAATATCCCAGAGGTCAGGGCTCCCATATTTATAAGAACACAGTTTTGGGAAGAATGCTCAGTTAGTTTACATTTTGTTATCGTTGAAGAACCTGAATTTAACCCTTGTTTTGTGTTTGGGTCTGTGGGACACGTTTTCAGTGTTTACCGAAAGAAAAATTATGCGATTTAGTATTTTTTTTCAACCTCGGACACTTTGGCCTTGGCAAATTTTCTGCAAATACATGTATATTAAAACATTTTCATTTTCAATGACTTCACATTGTACACACCACCTACACATTTATATAACACATGTAGTGTTTGGTTCCATTAGACCTGCAGGTAATAAAAGAGTGGAGGTGCTGGGTCCTTTCACTCTGTCCTTCTCCTACATGGCCTGCTGTTAGAGTGTGATTTTTTTTGTCCTTTTTTATTTTTATTTTTTATTTTTTTCCTGCTCCTACTAATCACCATAGACTGTATTCATGCACAAGGTTGCATGTTTGTTACATTTCAAGTACCAAAACCTGTCTGCTCTCACATTCCCACACATTTTACCTTCTGTCTTGTGGAAACCACTCGCAGTCGATGAATATAGCGAAAAGGATCTCTGATCAGAGGGCCTTAGAGAGAGAAAGGCTTGGGAAGGTAATGAAGAGGAAGATTTATCAGAATTTGAAGATTACATTTCTGGTGTCTCGCAGTGAGTTTGAAGGAGGGAGAGAGAGAGAGAGAGAATTCCTGATGAAGTATTTTCATCATTCTGGGTTGCGGCCACTTAGCAACAAAAAGAAGCGCTACAAGGTGTGTGGACGCAAGATGGATAAAAAGACACACTATACATGCATCATGCGCAAGGAATATAAATGCAACACACACAAAGTAAAACTCTGCCCCTCATGTGTTGCATAAGCTGGCATTGTTTCATTTAGATTTACACCCACATGTTGATAATTTTTAACATTTTTGCAAAAAAACCTATTTATAGATATAATCTAACAGAGGTAAATATTAACTGTATATACTGTCTTCACTGATAGTAATTGTGATAAAGTACACATCTGGTATTTTTACATAATGTTTATGACTGTATTGATTTAAAAATCCAATAATGCGGTGGGTCCACCACAATTTTACAAACCTGGAGGTGTCAGATTCAGGCATTGATGTGTCTTAATATGTTTGTAGCTAACATTTTCTTCATCTAACCCTAACCCTTTTTTTGCCCTCAGGATGATCACAACTTCTTGTATCTCTCTGAGAATCTTCGAGTGCCAAAAAATCTTTACGAGCGCATTGCAGAGATCGCAGACTACAAGAAGTACACGTCTGCTCTGCTGATGATGCTTTTTGACCGAGAAACTTTGGCCACACACTCTCTGCAAGGCCGGAGGAACACTTTTACTGGAGAGGATTGCCAGAAGCCTCAACTCCCACCGGAGATCTTGAGAAGTATAATCGGTAAAATAAAGAACATTACGTATCATTGAATTTTTCTGCACACAGACCTTCTATTAGAGGCTCATTATTTATAAATTCAAGAATGGAAAATGGAGATTTTAATTTTTATTATGTTTCTTCTTCCAGATCACGTGGCAGTCAAGTTCAACGTTGATAGCAGCCAAATAAAAACTGCAATCCGCACAAAGTTGAATAATGAAGACAAGCTATTAAAGAAGAGACTGGGTTTGGGTAAAGCTGAAAGCAAAGCTGTTACTGATCAAAGCTTTTGCCAAGATACTGCACTGCTGCCGGAAAACGGAGCAATGGGAAATGATTCTCAGTTATAACCTTCAGAGTCTGCCTTCTTCTGTTAGCCACCCAGTATTTCATGTCTGATAGAAACATGTGACAAATTGCCTTTTTAAAACCACATGTAGTTTATTCGGTATTGAAATTTAGGTAGTTGTAGATAGTACAGTTGTTTTTTGTTTGTTTTTTTGTTTTTTTTTACACTTTTTAGACATCTAACTTTGACATCTAACTTTACTTTGACAGCTGTTTTTGTCAACCATGTGTTTAAAAAAGTTTAACCTGGTAACCCAACCAAGACTTTCAATAGCAATATAAAGTGTCACATGTGTAATCGTCAGTGGGTAAAAACAACAAAGTGTTCTTATTTCATTTGAGGTAGTAAGTGGCAGGATTGCGAAGTACATGTATACAAGTTTACTGGTTTGATTTTTCAATCAGCAGGCCTTTGCGTGATCGACAATTTTAGGACAATTGAAAATGTTTTAAGCAATAGTGATGTCATTTGTTGCCTTCTGTTCATGACACATTTACACTAAGTGATACTGTGTTTCTAGAGTAGTGTTTTTGCAGTTACAAAATATGCTGTAAGTGATAATTAATCTTCCTGCTTCCACAACATCTCTTACATCACTTCTCTGTTTGTTGTGCTTATGTATGTAAGGGCAAATAAACTTTTTGAACTGATATCCTTCTGTTATCTTAGCTTGGACCCGTTCTTACGTCACCACGGTGAGGTACAGTAGGTCTATGCTCTCATGTCAGTTTTGTTTTGCCAAGAACCAACCCTGCTGCAGGTAGCAGTCGACTCCCAAAAGAGTACAACTGTTGTGAAATGAAGGTTTCTGTTACTTGGAGGGGAAAAATTTGCCTCCATTTAAACAAGAAAATAAAGTGTTTAAACTGGTGAATGGACTGAACAAATCCAACCAATACGTCAGGGTATTTTTATCCTCTCAGAAGCTCTGGAGAGGAGGATAGAGCAGCATGTGTAAAGACCATGGAATAGTGGACAGTGTGTGACAGTCACGGCCACTGACTGATGAAAGAGCATGTGTGGGACATGGTTAATGTCAGTGGGTGGCAGTTTGACACAGTCTTCTCTTGAATATGATAATCACCAATTGCTGGCTCCTCCCCTCCGCCCCCCTGCTTTTACTCAGGCCAGCTGTGCTGTCTCAGTGGAAGCACAACACATCACCTCACTCTCGCTCTCTGGTAGATCTGAGCATCTACTGTTTGTATGGTAAATCACAGCAGAGTTCCTGATGGATCTCTGTAAGGTGGACCAGCACTCTGAAACCAGCTCCTGAGCACTGAGTTTGGGGCCTTTGAAGGATTTAGGGAATCATCATGATTTGGGAGCTCTCTGCTTTACAAGACTCGGAAAAATCCTTTTGGAGGAGCCACTGCCAATTTTCAAAATGTAAGAGTTGCTTGTTAAAGTATTGTGTTAGTAAGCCTTTCTTTGATAATCAGTGGAGTTGATATCAAAGAATATGAACGCTCACATTATATTTGGTGAGTTTAATAATTAAGGAAAAAATACAGTAGACTTTTTCATGTTTTTCTCTACGTAATGTTATCACTCCAAGGTTTAATGGCATAATGGAATAAACAAGAGGCCTGAGAAGTACAAACAGAATAGTTCGAGCATCTTGCGGAGGTACATGTGTTTGAGAATGTGGGAAGGACTTAGGGGGGACATTTGAGTCAACAAAATGTAAGGTCAGTGATACAACTTTGATTCTTATGGGCCTGGCATGCTGCTGTCTGGTGACATTTTGACCACCAATTGAACTAACACTAATTGTGGAAATTACATTAACACAAGAGCCTTAAGACTAGTACACTCTGAGGCAACTGATGTTATTATAAACCAGTGATATCTAAAGAAAGATTTCTGATAGTTTTGAACATGAACTTTTAGCATTAAGGACGACAAACCAGAAAAGAAATTGTTGTAGTGACTCCTCCATTTTTGCAGCTGACCTTTACATAGTTACTCACGCTGTTCCTGGACAGGATAGGGGCTGTTGCTAATTGTCATTTTATTTTGATGTCTTAGGTGGAATCTGATATATCTTCTAAATGGACTATTACAATTTCAGTGTATTTATATTGGATGTACAATAATGGAAATGTACTTCAATTTATCTAATATGATTATTTTGTCTTCTTTTATTCAATGTAACCGATGCTAATTGTATTGTATTAAATTCACATCATCATTTCTGAAATCTCATGTTAATTTAAATTACATCCACTAAAACAAATTCTGTGTGAAATCTTTGAGATATTTAATGCTTAATTTTACTTTTTCATTTGATATAAAATGAATGTTAATCACACTTCCATTACATTTAGCTGACGCTTTTATCAAAAGCTATACATGTCAGAGGTCACACGCCTCTGGAGCAACGAGAGGTTAAGTGTCTTGGTCAGGGACATAATGGTGGATGGGTCATAGTGGGGTACTGAACCAGGGTCTCTCACACCAAAGGCAGGTGTCTTATCCATTGCACCATCACTACCCTAAAGTGCATTCAAATTTATTATTAACATAATTAAGAAAGTCACGACAAAGGGTGGGATAATGGGGTTTCTCTGAACAGGGTAAAATGCGCTGTAACAGCAGCTTTGTAAGGGATAAAAAAAACCTGCATAATTCCCTCATCCTCATTACAATGCAGATGTAAAGTAATGTTAAACATTTTAATGATGACTTCTTTCTACTCAAAAAGTAGTAACACAGGAAAAACTACAGCAGAATCCACTGCATGTTTATCTGTTGAATTTACAGTACAAAAGGTTTCAGAGAACTAAACAAGCTGGAGATAACTAGTGGCTGAAAATAATCACCTCCTTCAGAAGTACAGTAAAACGTGGACTTAGCATATGCCGCGCTGAAACCGGAACATGATGGAAAATGAGGACACCCTTACATAATATGCATGAGAATGTACATGTACTAGTCCTTTCTGGGGATAAATCTCACTGCAAACGTGGCATGCCAATAGCTGTCCACCAGAGAAGATTACAGCGGGGGAAAGCATCAGTGGAGCCCTGGCAGCGAGCAATCACATGTATTTAGGACAGCTTCCTCCACATACATCATACATTTGAAACCTGATTGTAATGATTATCAGTGCAAGATGGCAGAAAGGCCCTATGTTTGTGTTTAATCAAAATGTACTGTAAACACGTAATTCAGTCAGTGCTTTCTAGTTGTTTTTCAGAAAACAATTAAACAAGGATTGGGGGTCAAACTTGTCTTAACAAGAGGACTGCTCTTTGATGGTGCCGTGCAGGTCGACACTGAACACATATTAATCAATGCAGCCAGTTCTCTGCAGCTGGGCAAAACAAGCGCACTCATTATCTTTCATTTCAAGAAGAAGGGGACGGCTGGAGGAGAGACAGGGTGTCCTCCATGAATTATTCCTATTGATCATATCTGTCCCTCACTAAAAGAGAGAGAGCCTTCTTCAATATTCCCACAAATGTGTAAATTTATTGTTTAACTTTCCAGTACCTTTAAGACATGTATGTGCGTGTTCTGTTGAAGGTTATGAGGCTGCAGTGAGGATCTCTGGGTGTTTATATTTACACATTTCATATCAGTAACTAGTGGTGGACTAAAAGGCAGGAGATCTAGCTGCTTCAATTTTGACCATTCTTCTAAAATGTGACTCATGAGTCCCCCAACTTTATAGAAGTGTAATGTTAAATTGCTTCAGTACCCCTTTAACACAACTAAATGTGTTCATCCACCTTAATGAACTCAGAGAGAGTGAATATTGGATTTACGTTCATGAGGCGGAGACAAACATGACTCCAAATGAATGTGTATGTGTAAATCTGTTTGCTAACATGTTGATCAAACGTGATAATATGTTAGGGATGTGTTCGCAACTTGTTAAATATCCTGTTTTAATGGACTTTATTTTCTCTAACACAGGCGTGAAGAGTATTTCATTTGATGTCTGAAGGATCCTTCAACCTCATTTCTGAACAATGGGAGAGTCTGGAACACAGATGTGTACTTTTACTTTGGAACCTTTACTATGAACCATGGAGGACAACAGTCCATTTCTGACCCCTGAGTACAATGACAGCACCACCGTGTGGGCGCTGATGCCATCAGCTCCCAGCAGACAGCTGGGCACCCTTCCCAACCCACAGACACGCTTTAAGGATTTGACAGGCATATTTTTCATGGTGACCCTGAATGTTCTGGCACTTCTGGCCAACACTGCTGTTTTGGTTGTTGTCATTAAAGCACCTCATCTCAGGAAATTTGCCTTTGTGTGCCACCTGTGTGCAGTGGACCTGCTGTGTTCCATCTTGCTCATGCCCCTCGGGATTGTGTCCAGCTCTCCGTACTTTGCTGGTGTGGTGTTCACTGTGCTGGAGTGCCAGGTGTACGTCTTCCTCAGTGTAACCCTCATAGCTGCCTCTATCTTCACCATCACAGCCATCAGTGTGGAGCGTTACTACTACATTGTCCACCCCATGCACTATGAGGTCAAGATGACGCTGAAGCTGACTGCTGCCGTGATAGTGATAGCGTGGGTGGCCTCTGCCGTGCTGGGGTTGTCCACAGTCTTTGGGTGGCAGTCCTACGGAAGCCTGAGCTCCATCAGTGCAGCACACTGCTCGCTGCATTGGAGCCACAGTGACCACAGACAAGTCTTCTCGGTGCTCTTTACTGTCACCTGTTTCTGCCTGCCTGCTGTTGTGATTTTTGCTGTCTACTGTAATGTGTACAAGGTGGCCCGTATGGCTGCCCGCCAGCATGGACCTCTGCCCTTGTGGACAAACAGTCAACTGAAGCATCGCTCTGACTCAATAAACAGCCAGACTACCATCATCACAACACGCAACGCCCCCCGTCGGATTATGCGTGAGCGCACGTTTGGTGGAGGTAAAGCCGCTTTCACTCTGGTGGTTATTGTTGGCCAGTTTCTGATCTGCTGGTTGCCTTACTTTGCCTTCCACCTTCATATGACACTAGATCCATCACCCAAGATTCCTGATGACCTGGAGGATGCAGTCACCTGGCTGGCATATTCTTCCTTTGCTATTAACCCATTTTTTTATGGGCTTCTTAACCGGCAGATCAGGGAGGAACTTTGTAAGGTCAGGCGCTGCTACTCCGCCCGACCACTCGAGCTGGCTGTCTCCAGCCATGAGGGCTCAGGCAACGAAAACTTCCTGCAGTTCCTCCATAGGACCAGCTGCACAATAGAGACACGTGCAAGTTTTGCCATATCCAGTCCTCAAAGCACTCTGGATCAAGCTGGGCAAACTGGTTTCAGGATACCAGGACAGATCCCAGAAGAGTTCAATTAGATACCTCACTGTTGTGCCACAGCATTAGTAGCCTGTAGGGATATTACCATTAGCAACAAGATAAAAAATGATCCACAGGGGTTAACAGTAGTGACTGTTGCAATATGTCTGTAAACTTTATTTGCATACAGTAAAAGCTAAGATACTGCTCCAAGAAATAAACACTCGCTTGTTTATGATTCTTGACACACTTTTTTTCTTTTTATCTACAGAAGACACTCATGCATGAAACAATAATGGAATATAATGCTAATGGACATAGTTTCTTAAATTCAATTATTGTTACTGTATTTGTAGTTATACTGTTAGTAATACATTTATTTTTATTGGCTACTAAAGTACAGTCTGTGTTGATCTGCAATCAGCACAGCTCTTTTATTAAAAAGTTAGAAATACAAATATCACATTATACTTGAATAGTAAGTGATGACAAAATAATCAATACACAGATCTTAACACTTTCTCAGAATTTAGGGTTTTACAGTGAGGATGAGTCATCTATTTTTCGTAAGGTATTTAGACTACTTATTTTTATATGATGTATCAATGTAGCAGCAACATTATTTGTTCAAGTTGTTGTATTTATGTTGCAGGAATTTATGTAAACTGTATTTATTGTATTATTGAAACATCACTTTTTGTTAAAAAATATATTGTTTCTTAATTCTTTAAATGTGCAAATGAACACTGAATACTTTGATCACTTCTGTAGAGGAAATAATCATACCGTACATCACAAGGAATCAATATTTTGACATTTTCCTTGCACATTGGTCTATACTAAACTGATTAAATGTCTCCCTCTTGCAAGACGGTTCAAGAAATAAATATGGCAGTTATTTATGTAAAAAAAATAATAATTCAATAAAATTTTGTATTTTTTCCACAGCAGAGAATAATTTACTATACTCTATTAATTAATAATGAATAATCTTACAGCCTGTAACAGTGAAGATGCAGCCGGGTGATCAGACTGTCCCGTAACCATGAACCAGATCAACAGCCTGCTTCCCCATTAAAAATCCCTCACGGGTCCTGTCAAAGTATCCTTGAGCTCACTCTCTGTAAGTCTGTAAAAATTAAAGTCCTATCTCTCTCTGATCACAAAAAGCACAAAGGTGGCATCTGAAACAGTAACTTGGTACCTTCATGTGCACCTTTTTGTTTGTCAATTTTGCAGACAAGCTTTGACCCTCTGGGTCCTGACCTCTGTGTCATTCCTTGTGTCTGTGAAAAGCCTGTCTGAGCCCAGTTTACGCAAGATTATGTGATGAGAACATGCCATTTCATAACAGCTGAAGTGGTTGTCTCTAATATCCCCGTTAATGTGTGTGCACTGGCAGATTAATGAAAAAAATCTATATTTACATACATGTTTCTATGAGCATTACCTACTTGTCAAATACTGTACACATACAATTATGGTATATACAGTTTGTTCTTGTTAAAGTAGGTTAATCATTAATGTCCTTCACAGATCAATCAGTGAAGACAGATGATAAAATGTTGATGTATTTATGTTGAATATGTTGAGAGAATATGCAACTCCCGCTCACAGGTTAGATTTAAGATACCACTGGTTTAATAACAAATAAAAAGAGATGCATGCTGAGCTAAAATCAGTAGGCAAATAAACACATTCAACAGAGAAATGTGTAAAAAATATCACCTACTTTGCTGTCTATAGTGGCACTGATGCTGCTTGTCACTGGAATGTCAGTGAAGAGAAAAATAACAATTGGAGGAATGAGAACTATATGTGACTGTGTACTGACAGGCAGGAGAAAAGGCATCCCACACACATTCATACAAACTGAAATCGTAAAAGCACGAGGTGAAGTACTTTGTAGACATCCGGAGATGTGAAAAGCAAGATAACAATGTGCCAATGTTATAGTCCCTGGCTGTAAACACATTCAAGTAAGTGCTGTAGAGTACAAATACAGTGTGCAAATATGATATGACACTTGCATGGAAGTTTATGGTACACAAACAAATACTGTAAACATAAATCGACTCTCTCATACACACTGACATACACAATGACAATAGTCATCAGCTTCACTACAATTTTGAGATGTTTTTTTAAAGGATAACACGTAAATGAGGTAAAACAGTTTTGACTGCACTCTTAATGTTCACTTTAGTCAATTCTTAAATATTGTCTTTACATTAGTCATTACAAACTCATGCTGTGCTCCCAAACATCGTTCAAACCTGCAGAGCTTTATTGTAAATTGCAGTACAGTCCCAAACGTTTGCAATGGTACCAAATATGTCTAGCTGAATTATTTCCATTCTTAAATCTTGGGTTGGAATATTTCACTCAGCGTAAACATCATATAGCTTCACTGAGATAGTGCAGAATAAGATTATTAATTTAAGGAAGCTGGATATTAAGGGATCATAAGGAAGTGTCATGGAAAGATTCAACATTTTGTAGGCTACTCCATTAAAAATCCATCTGCTCAAAAAGAAACCAAGATATACTCAATCACATAATCAAGTTTTTACCCCTCTTAGCTTTTAAATACTATATACTGTACGTATACTGATAAAAAAAAGGGGCAATAAGGTTGATAACAATACAGTTCAAAGAACTGACTGCCTGTTTCATCACCAATCTTCCAAAGTGTGTCATTCAATCTAATGAATATTTTAGCCTGAGCAGTCTTCATAAGGTGCTAATTAAAGTGAAGGACCTCCCACCCCATTGACGGCTCTTCTTAAATGAAGACAGTCACATCAACTGTGCGTCTCTTTTGCTAAGCATATGCATTGTGGATCAAACACACTCTCCAAGTCTCCATGGAAAACACAAATTCATGGCTTGAGCCTAATGGTAGGCCTGAATCAGAAAAGACCTAATGTTCTTCTGTGTGCTATACCATGTGCTGATGAGCCTCTCTGTTGCTGCACAGGCAGTGATAATGAGAGCGCCACTCTTGAAGAATCAAAGGGAGAAGGTGTGACTGATGGTGCTGTCTGACGGAGTGAAGCATATTATTTCATCAGACCTTTCCTCAGTCATTAACAGCCAGTTTTTTTCAGTAGTATGTGGCTATTTTGGCATTCTTGTTGAATTTGTACTGTTGTGAACATTTCAATAAAAAAGGGATCCTGTTATATAATGTTAGCTCAAATGCTTTGATGTAAAAGTGTTGGCCAAAAAATAAGGACAGCATTTTGCAGCATCTGCTTCACTGATATAAAGCAAAAACAACCACATAATAATTACTCATGGAACAAACACTGATTCAACCACTTGGCAGTAAACTGAAGTCAAATCAGAGTTGGTGCTGCTGTCAACCAATTAGCTGTTAACATCTGCATATAGTTTGAAGCTTTCTTATTTTAGATATTTTTAATCCTTCTCAGAGAAGATCTGAAATGTCTGGATGGTACAATTTTTTTTTCCAAGCATCCCAATATAAGGGAAGACTGATTTAGCTGTTTTTATTGACCTAATTCATAGAAGACATCATTTCGTGTCCACATGAAAGTGTAATGATGTGATACTGAAACTGATCTGCAGCTGGTTCAGATGGGGATTTTGTACAGAGAACGCAGCGCTAAAAATAAATATATTTCATCTTTTTAATGCTATGGTGTTAGATAGGAAGCACTGAATTGGTGATTGCGTTGTTAACTAGACATGACAAATAATCAGACTGACCTATTGTACTGAAAACAGCTGGACTGACAGGTGCTGAGCAGGAACTCTGTCATCGCTAACATCCCTCATGCCCCAAATAAGCTGCTGCTGTCGGGATCAGAGGGTATATGAATCGTGGAGTTAAATCAAAGCGCTAGTTAAAATAGACACACACTTCCGCCACTCAGCCATATGATTGTGATTAACATGTATATGTGGTCTGAGGCAGCAGTTCTCACCTCTTTGGGCCTGCAAAACTAACATCTATACATGTAACACCTGTTACACATACAGAGATGTTACAAAATCTATTATAATTATATAAGATATAAAATGTATAGTTTGCATTATGCACATTGCATTCGTGTTTTGTCTTATATAAAGTGCACTCATACAAATTCTGGATTATCGTCACATTATGTTGTTGAGCTGAGGTCATGAGAGGGACACAGGCCAAACATTAGAGAAAGGTTCTTGTGCATTAAAGGCCCTGAAAACCTGTTTTCTACACGTTGAATATGTGTGGCTGTGTCACATGAGAGAGAGGGAAAAGCTGATGTCACTTCCTTTATTTTTAATCACGATAGAAGGACCCAGAGTCAAAGAATTCAGCTGAAATATATTTAGTGTTGTAGAAAAATCTCAAAATTTCCCTGTCCATTGTAATAGCAGAAAATTGTTTCTTCTTTCATTTAATCTTTTATGCATGTTCTTTTACTATTATTATTATTGCTACTGTTATTATGTCTTATAGATATATATGTGTTGTGTTTTTTTATCCTTAACCTTTCCTTCTTCTAAACTCCTTACATCGGTTTATCCACATTTAGTAGGGTTTAGGTCAGACCTATGAGATTGTTTTGGTGTTTTCCTTTCTTGCTGTTCCTCTCCTTTGCTTGAATGTGCATTCAAGGACGGGAGAGGATCTCTGTTCCCCAAAACAACCTAGACTGTGTAAATGATTTTGCATCCCTTTGCTCTGGGCCAGATGGCCAAAGCGGCACGGGTGTGGACTGGCTGATTATGTGTAGTACTTTTCTGTTTATTCTCTTTTATCAATAAATTCTTCAAAGACAATGGTTGGTTGTTACTCAATTATTTGCTTAATCCCTCACCAGCAATATACAATTTCCGTGACATCTAGTAACTTTAATTGCTACCTCCCCAAAATCCTACGTCATGAGATGGAACGATGACTACAATGAGGTGAAATGTGCCACCCCTTACTTTCACACACTCCAGTGATCTCACCTGTGCAGCCACGGACACAAACAAACCCCATCTGTCAAGGTGTGCAGTCCATTAGCATGCCAACGTCTCCGGCACAGACACAGGAAGACCTCTTTCATCAATACACTGTCTACAACCAGCAGGCAGAAATGTTCATTACCATGGAGACCTTGCAATGGTCATCGTACAGTAGCTCACTGGCAGGTGGAAATCTGAACAGATGTACAGTTTGTTATGTACTTGGTAGTACTTTATTCAACCTAGTGTGATCGTTCAGCCTTTTTGATAAGAAAACTTTTCCAGTCCATGTTTGGTTCTCTTAGAATGATTTACCAGTGGTGCATAGGTCAAACTCTTGGACTTAGGCCTATATACTGTAAGATATTTGAGATTTGCACATGGACAAGATGAGTATTATGAGCTGAGAACATTTCTGTATGGGGTACGTTGTATATTAACATTATTTTCTCAGATTATCACGTTGCCAGCTGCTGTGCTGGGACCTTTTAATAGCAGTGAGGATGACTTAATGGGTCCAAAGGTTGACAGAATTGGATTTTTTTTTTTCTTAAAAGCATGTTATGAAACACACTTAACACCAGACAGAGTGCAGAGGCCTGAGAAAGCTCTTCAAACTATCTGGGCCTTGAGGAGGACATTGTGATAATATGCAATATATCCTCCACATTGTGACTGAAGCTGGGAAGAGCAAACCAAGGCAGGGTTATGCGGCATCACAGCTGAACAATTAACTGGTTTCTTTGAGGAACAGTATGGAAATAATTGCTAAAAGGAGGGTACTCTGAACTTTTGGGAAGAGCAGTTGTTTTCTCAATCCCAGAGGACGTGGTGGATTTTGTGTCCGCCACGTAGGTCATAAAGGTGCATTTTGCCATGTAAGGACAACTGGTGCTCTGTGCTAGGGGTTTATTCTCCTCAGCAAAATCAGCTAGAAACTAATTGGATCAATAAGTCTGTTTTAAGAAACAGAATAGACTCGAATTTTGCCTCAGCTCTTACCTTCACTTTATTCTACATCAAAACAAAACAAACACAAAAGCAAAACTATGGTTAAATGGGAAATGTGCAAAAAGGACGAATGGCTAGGATATCTGGTAAACAAAGTGAGAGTTTTGTTATGTTTTCCATATTTTTTTGGCAATTTCTAATTCTATTCCTGTTGTTTGATTTGGATGCCATGATTAAGTTTTAACTTGGAGTACACCATCTTAAATTAAATTTATTAGTATCTAAATCAAGGGGAGAGTCCTATAAAAATATTAATAATGCTTCCCCGCTTCCAATCTTGCATACTGGTGGTTATTAGGTCAGTTTTGCCCACAAGAACAGGACATAGGCACATCTGGCTGCTCTGAGAAGTGACTTAATTTCCATTACAGGCCAGAAGGAGGCAGCATTGTATTGCAAGTCAACCCCTTTTCTGACATGAACACAATTCTTTTGAGTACAAATTTGACTTTAGTTTTAATTAAATCCTATAATCTGTAGGGAAAGTTTACCTGTATCATTTACTACTTTTCATCATCCAGTTGGAAGTTACATGACGTGCTCGCACAATGTTAGTTTTTTATCAGTGCTGTCTTGCTTGCAGATTTGCCTCACATTGTATGTTTCTGTATGATTGCATTCCCAGTAGGCTGTCTCAGTGTATACAGAACCATCTCCGTGCTCAGAGTATTTATATCCCCCACTCACACAGCACAGGAAAATGATCTTCACTTGAAAGACCATCTGCAAATACCATCCAGGGCACTGTAATGTTCCCAATATAACTTCACTGCCAGCTGAGGGGTCCGGTCAGCGACCTCAGTCTGAGCTGTAAGGGAAGTGACAGGCACCCACTCTGCTCGCCGGATTGTGTTTTCTTCACGTTTGGAAGGACACCATGATGAAAGGGGAAGATTCAGAGGAAGTAGAGATTGACTTGGGGGACTCCAGTGACCCTGATGAATTTGATAATGGGGAGGAACCTCAGATGCTGTGGAAGGCCCCTCCTGCTTTGGAAGAAGAGGAAAACATTCACACATCTACCCTAGTGGAAATCAGTGATACCAAACCTCTGATTAATGTCAGAGACCCTCGTGGTATCAATGACTGCCTCAAGGTATTGCCTTCTTATGCATTGGCTCTATTGAACATTGTTTTATGGACAATCTGTGCAATTGTCACATGCAGTGAAATAGCTGGTAATAAAATCACTCAAAATTACTGGCATGTAAAACTAAGAAACTATCTGAATGGCGCTGCGTGAGTAACGACGTGCAGTACTGGTCTATCTATGTTTTACAAATGTAATATTAGAAAAGTGTTACAAGTATCTAGGAACATTTATTGACAAAAACTTGAACTTTGACCATAACACTTCTGCTGTCTACAAGAAGGGTCTTCAGAGGCTTCATTTTATGCGCAGACTGAATACCTTTAATGTGGACAAAACTTTGATGTCTCTATTTTATAAATCTTTTATTGAATCAATTTTAACTTTTTGTTGCATAGCTGGGAATCTTACAGTGGAAAGCAAAAATAAACTGTCTAACACTGTTAAGGTGGCCAGTAAAATACTTAGCACTCAACAGCTTTCCTTGGAATACATCTATAAAAGACAAGGACTATCACAGCCAGCTCTTACCACCCTCTCTTGGAGGAATTTGTTTTTCTCTCCTCTGAGTGAAGATACAGATTGCCCAAAATAAAAACTAACAGATACAAATTTTCCTTTGCACTCACAGCAATTAATGCCCTAAATTTGCACTGAGCCTGCTCAGAAGCACCCTACAGCATTGAGGCTACCATCTCAACTTTTTGAGTACTTTTAGACTTTAGACGAACAAATAGATGTTGTATACGATATCTTTTTTTTGTTCATGTCTCACGTATGTCTGTTTTAACCCTATTGCAAATCAAATTTCTCCTGGTGGGACAATAAAGATTGAATTGAATTGAACTGGCTGATTGCACTGCCCTCCAGTAGATATACTTTATTTAAGGTGTGGATTAAGTCCAACAGGAACATGACTTAGCGGTTCACCTCTGAACCATCAGCACCACTTTCTCTTTGCTTCTCCAGGTGACGTTTGAGGATGTGATCGCTGAGCCGGTGTCTGTGCGAAGTGGGGACAGAGTATGGATCTGGAGTAATGCCCTGTTTGAGGTGTCTAGGGTTTGGATCTACAGGATAGTCACAGTGCTTCTGGCAATTCCCATGTCAATTATCTCTGGTTTCCTGTTTGCAATCCTCAGCTGCTTTCACATCTGGTAGGTTTAGATCACACCTTCCTGCAGATATTATGGGGACAGCATGTAACATGTTTTGCTACACAGATAGGTTAGGTGTAATTTGTCCAGGATTTGAAATATCCAACTCTGAAATTTCTGCCCCCACCACCAATAACATGGGGGTGAATAGGTGTTTGTTTGTGGTGCTCACATCCCAAACAAGCAGGCTGTACTTATGCTAAATGGTGCTTTGAACTGAATGCTAACACCAGCATGCTAACATGCACACAATGATAATGCTAAAAGGCTGATGATTTGCAGTATCATGTTTACCACGTTCACCCTTTTAGTTTAGTGTGTCAAGGCAATCCATGTGATAGTTGTTGAGACTCGAAGTGGTAGATTGACCGACCAACTGCCATGTTGCAATCATGGCTAAAAATTCCAATCAACAGCAATGTGTGGACAATCCACAGATCACACTGTCAACCTTTTTTGACTATTACCAATGAACCTGTTGTCAGTGAGATATGTGGATTATCCATAGTAACTGGACACTTAAAAGACTTTAAAACCAAAATGTTTTAAATGTGTTTAAGTTCCACAAATAAAATTTCATTCACCCCACTTGTCACAAAAGAATAGAAAAATCACCTATTCAGTACATGAATTATAATGTATTTTATTTCATTTAGTAATGCTGCTTTGGACTATGGTGACAATGTTGATCTATGTCTGTCTATTTATTTATTTATTTATTAATATATTAGGCTATGTTTATTATGAAAGATGATTTTATTTCAAACTTGTACTAATCTACAGGTCTCACAATTGCCCCATGGCAATAAATAAAGTGTTTTGAAATTGAAATTGAGTATTAGGGTGGGGAAGTGTCCACAAATAAAGATGGATGTCATTTGATCTTGCCAACAGCTAAACAACCCCGAAACCCCAGGAGATTAAATACGCCTCTAAAACATCTGTATTGGGATATTCTCTTTCCATCAATTTTACAGAAATAGTTCAGTTCAGTTACTACTCCATCTGTGAAAACAGTCAAATAATGTCTTCTGTTGTTGGTAGGAGCTTTTCAAAGTTTGAAAAATGATAATGAAACAATGTCATCAGTAATACGAAGTGGTTTGATAAGGAACAGGAATGGAAAAACACTAAGTTGGCAAAAATGAGTAGTTTTGGAAAATAAGAGTTACGTTAATTTAATTGTTAGTGATGAAATTCTGATTCGATTATACAGCATTAAGAAATGTGTTTAAATGAAAGTCTGTACCCAGAGAGGGCAGTTTGCTGTTTACCTGTATGTGTGACCAAGTGTGACCGCCGCACTTGGACCCATATTGTTGCCTATTGCCTATTGTTGCCTTAAAGGACATAATGTGTGAAATTAACTGTGAAATGACTTAAGAACCAAGAAGGGTTCAAATCCTGATTCAAACCGAAATTATGAAATAATAAAATTAGAAAACAGTTTAAAATCTTAAAAGTAAAATACTTTCTCTCAGTTCCCTGTCCACACTGCTTCAGAAGACACATATTGAACATGTTGAACTTAAACTGGCTGCATGGCTGAGACTAAGAAAATGTCTTTCTTTATGTAATTTTGATGATTTTCTTTGTAAAATCTGTGTTTCTTTCTATGACAGGATGGTTGGTCCTTGTATCCAGTGTATCTTTATTGGCACACGCTGGCTGCAGAGCCTGTGGACCATTGTGCTTAGCATCATTCTGCGTCCCTTCTTCAAGAGCGCTGCAAGATGCTGTGGAGGTTTCAGTATTCACCTGGCCAAAGAATGAGAGTCATACATCTGCACTGGGATTGTTCAATATGCGCACAAGTGCACTGGTGTTCTAGTGGACTGAGCTGAAGTGTGCGTTGATATTTGAGTCTTTAATATTTAATTCATAATAAAATGTTTATAATTACATGTTTTTCACAGTCAAGATAGCTTTGGTCAAAGTCCAAAGTATTTGCTGGCCCTTTTTAATGATTTTAACGGCTTACAACTGCTTACTTACTTGTGACCTGACAGTGACAAAAAGAAGGAGATGTAATTCTTACTTTCATCCTCCCCTAAGTGAAATTGCTCTGGAGAGACCAAATAGAGGATCAGACTTCTTAAAAACTGGGATCAGTGTAAAAAAATGGAGTCTCTAAAATAACTTCCGTTCCAGTGATTGATTTGATGAAAATGAAACTGCTGAAAGTGAACCTTTTGGTTGAATGCAGCACATCATAAAGGTTACGCCTCTGGATTAGTATTTACAATTTGGAGTAATTTCATCATAATTAATTATGCAATTTGAATGTTGTATAGTCTTTATGTCATAATACTTTTTAAGAGGTTAGAGTTATGTATATTTTTTTTACATTTTATGCTGTAGTTTAGAGTTAAAGCTCAATGAACATAAATGTACAACTACTAGGATCTAATTTTAATTGTAGTTAAGCTGCTGACACCTAAGAATATTTAGTTCTGCAGAAAAGAAGACCCACTTATCTTAGATATATTCTGAGGAAATGGCAATAAAAGCTACGGATTCAAGTATTTGACTGTTAAAATGAAAAATATATTTCTCTATACAGAAAACATTATCATTGTGGTGGCCGAGGGTTTAATCTGGATTAGTATTGCATCCTACAGACATGTTATATCCTATATATGAGTTAGGAAACAAAATCTACCTCCAAAGAACTATGAAGCCATTACAGCAATTGTAACTCATTAATTCTCCACATTGTAATGATAAAACAGATATTAAAATCATTGTCACCACCATTGTTACACCACTATTGCATGGATAATATGAAGGACAGCAGGACTGGGCTTATAGTGATTTGTAGGCTTTACAATATAATGACCATTTATTCAGGGTCAATTGTTTTAAGCTTGAAAGCAAATGTTCTTGCGAAGTTGTGTATTTAGTGAGATAGGCTTTATATAGGTTTATATGAGCAACCTTCGAGTATTACTTTTTTCTTTAATTTCGTGTGTGGATGGAAATTAATAAAACATCCTACATGATCTCACCATATATCATGCATGTATGTACTGATTATTCATTGTGCAGTATAGCATCTTCTTACGTCGGTGTAAAATGCAACATGAGCCTGCTTCCCTGTTTGAGAAATGCTGTAAGTCACAGTGTGACGTGTCACATTTCTACAAAAGAATGGACAATGCTATTGTGTGTGTCCATATACTTGATGTGGTATGTCAGCAGTGCCTTCTGTATCTTTGACAGTTTGAGGTAGTCACCGCTGGCAGCTGCCTGCTGGCATTCCTGCATTGGAATAACATTGAATGGTGTTTCAGTTCATAAACTGCCACTCCCCTCTGCTGCCCTCTGGGGCTTTGACTGCAGCCATACACCCATCTCTCATTCCGGCCCCTGTTGCTTCATTATCTCAGCTTCGGCTTGTGCATCGTCCTTTAATCAAAGAGCAGGGCCATGGACATGGATGCACACTGAAATTAACCACAGACAGGAGCCGATGATCAATCTCACCAACAGGGACCTCAAGCAAATCAACAAGGATGTGGTCAAGGTGCAAATAATTAATATTTACTTTCTTGCTGAGATGAATCAAGCCTTGATCGTGTGTGTGGATAAAAATGCTATCAAAAATAGCTATTAACAATATTAGGTTTTGGAGATACAGGACATCTGAAGGAGCAGCTAGGAGGTTTATGGATACAAAAAGTTTGAGCTACAGCATGAAGTGCATTCAATAAATAGGCTTCAGATAATTCTGACCTAACAATGGGTCATGGTTGACTTATTGATTTGTGAGTGCTGACATGCACAACAGATTAGGTCTTTGCTAAAATACTTACTTTCTAGACATGCTGTTGTTGTGATGTTAGCTATAGTAGCAGGAGAGGTGAGTATCGGTGTCTGGAGCTGGTGTGCTGGCTCTGGGACCCATTGGCGTAAATCTCATCTAACAGTAGGGGGAGGCAATAAACATAAAATTTCTGAAGGGCACACAAATAATACAGGCAAAATTGTTCTTGTGTAGGATAGGTGTACACAAAGGAGAGTCTTACTACTATTAGTGTAGCATATAGACAACACTCAGATAGGGGGGTTCCTGACCCCCCCCCTGCAATTTCCACCTAGGCTGGGACCATCTTGTCCTCTCTGCATGTTAACTTTGCAACTGTAGCGACAGTTTGCTAACCCGTAACTTAGCTGACATTAGTTACATCAGTGGTTCTCGAAGTGGTGTGTGGGTCCCCAGCAAAAAGTGGAATAATTGATTTTTACTATATTTCCACCCATAAGTAACACAGTGGGCGGCGCGGTGGTGCAGTGGTTACCACTGTCGCCTCACAGCACTAAGGTCGTGGGTCGCCTTTCCGTGTGGAGTTTGCATGTTCTCACCGTGTCCGCGTGGGTTCTCTCCGGGTGCACCGGCTTCCTCCCACCATCCAAAGACATGCAGTCTAGGTTGATTGGTGTCTCTAAATTGCCCTTAGGTGTGAATGTCAGTGTGAGTGGTTGTCTGTCTATGTGTGGCCCTGCAATGGACTGGCGACCTGTCCAGGGTGTATCCCGCCTTTCGCCCAATGTCAGCTGGGATAGGCTCCAGCCCCCCGCGACCCTGTATACAGGATAAGCAGTTGACGATGGATGGATGGATGAAGTAACACAGTGACAGAACATATGTTCTATGGCTATACACTCTGTAATAAAACATCTAAAAGCCAAAATCCTATCAGATGGACGATCAAAATCTTATCAAATGGGGGTCCATGGTCTAATTTGTGTCAGTTAGGGATGAAAAAGTTTGAAGAAGAACCACTGAGTTACATACTTGCTGTGTCATTGTTTACTAGATATCAAGGTATTTGTGTTGTTGTGGGATTTCTCCAGATTTTCTTAGTCCACCTTTAATTACAAAGTTTCAAAAGGTTGATTATGAGTAGGTTTTAAGCTTTAAGTCAACCCTTAAAAGCCACTTTAACCAGATCACACAACAACACATAGACAGATTAATTTTTTATTTGCAGAGGGTTTAAGGTCTCTGCTGCAGACACTTCTACCATCACCCTTACACAAGACGCTTAAATGGGATTTTGTTAGTGACACTCAAAGCATTGAAAACATCTATTTCTTACTCAGGATAATCCACAGTCTTTACCACGGACAGTTTTCATTATGATATGTATGTTATCATATTATGGACTTAAGGTCTCACTATGAGGCTTGTGTATATTGTAATGCACGGCTAGATACTGCCTGGAGTGAGAGTGGAAATATGTTTATTTCTGATTTGTCTTTCTTGAAGCCTATATAACCAAACACAGTAAATAAATGATCCATCTCTGTATGCTTTAGGTCAACTTTGAAGATGTGATTGCAGAGCCTGCTAGCACACACAGTCTGGACAGGGTGTTGAAAGCCAGCCACAACACTTTCACAGTTTCAAAGTACCGACAGCCTGACTGTCATCTTGGGCATCTCTTTGTCACTGCTCTGGGACTTCCGGTTTGCTTGTCTGTCATGCTGGCACATCTGGGCTGTTGTGCCCTGCATTAAGAGCTGTCTAGTCGGGTCCCAGTGTCTGAGTTGACCACAATTCCTTCCTTGACCCGCTCTTCCAGTCACTAGGGAAGATATACAGCAGCGTGAGAGTGGTTTTGCGCAAGGAGGTGTAAGTGCTGTACAGCCGCTTTATACATAAAGACCCAATTCTGGACATTTCATTGACTTTAGAAGATCCATGAAACATCAGAAAAGGTGCAGAATTGTCATTTTTGTTTGTTGGTATACATTTTGAGCTGATTTAGTGTCTGTTACTGGATTAAATGTTGTTGGGTTTTTTACATAATGATACAGCAAAACCTGAAAACTGTCTGACCATGAATTTCACTCTTTTTATTCTATGTTGATGTCAGCCAAGCTTTAAATAAATAATGTTTTACATAGAATATGAATTTCATTGGTTTCATTGCACTTCAACAATTTTATTCAAGGAGGATTAAATCATACCTGAAGACTTTTCTTAAGAAGCCTCTTGATGAGAACCACCTTCATGCATGTCATCCCCTCTCTCTCCCACATTTTCTGTCTCACCTTGGCTTTACTATTACAAATAAAATACATATACAAAAAAACGCCCCCCAAAATTATTATCATAATTTTCCTTCCATATGTAATGACAGAAAAATGTAAACATCACAAAATTTTGCAGTTGTGCCAAATATTAGACTCTAATGAAACTTAATAGACTGTTTCTCGTTGCATGTTATTTTTTATTTTAGTTTTAAACCCACCTAATACACCAACAATATACATTATCTGATCCTGACACTGAAAATCTCCATATGTTCAGTCCAGTTGGCATATTGCTTCGAATCGTGCAGCAAAACAAATAGAGCAGAAAAATAAGACTATTTTTTATTAATAGTAAGTGTGGCCAAGAGAGGGAACCATCTTCTAGTTTGATCCCAGATCGATTAAATGTGCTTCAGTGTGAATAAAATTTTAAATCCAGATCCACTGATTACCTCAAAACACCAACAACATAGGAAAGAAATGAAATGATGACATGTACACACAGATTAGAGGCAGTGGAGACTGTTCACAAAGTAAATTTCATATTACATCACAAAGGACAGACACTGATGTGTAGGAAGGAAAGTCTACTGATAGCATTGAAACCATACCTCCTTGTTGTAAAATGCATTCCTTATGGTTTTTGCTTTGCTGATGTGTTTTTATAATGGTGATATCATTATCTTAATAACCTTAATATAATTAATGAAAATTAACACTTTGATGTGTCCATCCATAATATAATTTAATATATTATAATATCGTATCATATAATATCATAAAATGTTAGCACACAAAGTAATGCTGCTGTAAAGGGTAAAAAAATCCTTACAGTAACCCAATTAGTGGCAATTTGCACAGAGCAAAGATACTTTTGTAATCTGCCAAACTCCTAGCTTTTTAAAAACACAGTTAAGAATTTTTCCTTACATTTGCTGAAAGAATCATTCTTACAATTATTGTTACAATAAGGCCAAATCAGGACAAAAACTTTCAGAACAAGAGACTTTAACATTCAAGACTGAAGGCCAACATACGACCAACTTTGAAAATGGTCATGGTTGTTTATACAGAGAGACAGAGGATGCATGTTAAAAATGCTAAAGCGTACAATTAAGATAAATACTTGATTTGGTGTTTGGGGAAAGCCAAGGGAACACAGCCATAGAGATTAGAAGCTTCACTTTACATCACATTTTCTTAAAATGGACACTGCTTGCTGTTTTAACAGGGTGCAGGACATTGTGTGGACAGGAGGTTTACATTGTCTATTTAGCTCAATTTAAAACATGTTACAATGGCTACCGCAGTGCCGCTACAGATAATTAAATGAAATGGGGGACTGGCATGATTTCCAGATTACTCAGCTACAGGAAGCCTGGATGGCTTTCAGCTGGCTTTTCAGTGTCCGGGTCCCCCTGTGCTGGATGTGTGCGTGAGGCTCCTCTGGCTGCTGGTGTTCTTGAGGACGTAAGTGACAGAGTTGCTCTTGTGCCTGCTCTGTCGATCACAGCTACAGGAGGAGGCCGTCAGGTACTGTCTACAGCAGCAGAAGAAGCACTGCATCAGGTCATGGAATAGGTGACCAGCAAAGAACATGTAGATCCACGGGTTACAGCAGCTGTTGAGACTGGCCAGCAACATGGCAATGATAAAGGCCATGTCTAGGGAGAGTGACAGAGAAAGAAAACAATAATATGCTTGGCATTTTGATGAATAGGTGTATTGTTACATATAAAATAGATCTAAAGAGAAACTAGAAAGTTAAAAAAGCGTTGCCTGAAAGCATGATATATCTTATTCCTGTGTCATGGAGCTCCATTGTCATCAAAAATGACATCAATGATCCACATTGTTACACTGGTGTTTCTTAATTACTATGAACATTAGCACTTTAGTTTATTTTGACTCAATCCCACATACACCATATTTACTCACACAAGGCAAATCCACAGCTGAAAAATGTCCCC